AAGAGGGCAGGATTGTTGTTGTGGCGGAAGGTTCGCAAGCAAGTTTGGTTGTGGCCGGTGTCTCTAAAGCATCTTGCTAACCAATACTTTCCACTCAATTCTTTCCACTAATTGAAATGTCTTTAAAAACACATTAGCATTAATTCAACAGACTATAGTAAACAGAGAAATGGAGGCAAAAGATGTCTTTCAGTTATCAATGCACATATTCAGCGACACACAGGAGCTCTTTCAAGCTGGGCACAGTTTCATTCACAAAACCAGTCCCATCAACCAGGAATCAGAATCAGAAATACTTTAATAATCCCAGGGAGAAATTACTTTCATTACAGGACTCCATATGTAATAGAGTGACTATAGGACCAGTTTGATAGATAAGTTCATACAATATACACTATATTGCCAAAAGTATTTGCTCACCTGCCTTGACTCACATATGAGCTTAAGTGACATCCCGTTCCTAATCCATAGGGTTCAATATGACGTCGGTCCACCCTTTGCAGCTAGAACAGCTTCAACTCTTCTGGGAAGGCTGTCCACAAGGTTTAGGAGTGTGTTTATGGGAATTTTTGACCATTCTTCCAGAAGCGCATTTGTGAGGTCGCACACTGATGTTGGACGAGAAGGCCTGGCTCTCAGTCTCCGCTCTAATTCATCCCAAAGGTGTTCTATCGGGTTGAGGTCAGGACTCTGTGCAGGCCAGTCAAGTTCATCCACACCAGACTCTGTCATCCATGTCTTTATGGACCTTGCTTTGTGCACTGGTGCACAGTCATGTTGGAAGAGGAAGGGGCCAGCTCCAAACTGTTCCCACAAAGTTGGGAGCATGGAATTGTCCAAAATGTCTTGGTATGCTGAAGCATTCAGAGTTCCTTTCACTGGAACTAAGGGGCCAAGCCCAGCTCCTGAAAAACAACCTCACACCATAATCCCCCCTCCACCAAACTTTACACTTGGCACAATGCAGTCAGACAAGTACCGTTCTCCTGGCAACCGCCAAACCCAGACCCGTCCATCAGATTGCCAGATGGAGAAGCGCGATTCGTCACTCCAGAGAACGCGTCTCCACTGCTCTAGAGTCCAGTGGCGGCGTGCTTTACACCACCGCATCCGACGCTTTGCATTGCACTTGGTGATGTATGGCTTGGATGCAGCTGCTCGACCATGGAAACCCATTCCATGAAGCTCTCTGCGCACTGTTCTTGAGCTAATCTGAAGGCCACATGAAGTTTGGAGGTCTGTAGTGATTGACTCTGCAGAAAGTTGGCGACCTCTTCGCACTATGCGCGTCAGCATCCGCTGACCCCGCTCCGTCAGTTTACGTGGCCTACCTCTTCGTGGCTGAGTTGCTGTCGTTCCCAAACACTTCCATTTTCTTATAATACAGCTGACAGTTGACTGTGGAATATTTAGGAGCGAGGAAATTTCACGACTGGATTTGTTGCACAGGTGGCATCCTATCACAGTTCCACGCTGGAATTCACTGAGCTCCTGAGAGCGACCCATTCTTTCACAAATGTTTGTAAAAACAGTCTGCATGCCTAGGTGCTTGAATTTATACACCTGTGGCCATGGAAGTGATTGGAACACCTGATTCCAATAATTTGGATGGGTGAGCAAATACTTTTGGCAATATAGTGTATATAAAATTAGTGGTCCCCACTCCATCTCGCCATCAGTTTTGGGGTCCTTGATCTGGAAAACATTGAAGACCCCTGTGCTAATAGGTTCCCAATGGAAAACTCCATTGGCACCAAGTAGCACTAAATTGGTGCCTTAGAAGCGACACTGTCAAGGAACGCTGTGGATAGCGGAAACATGCAAGAGGAGGGGAGTTTTGCGTTGGAGGTCCTCCATCATACTTTTTTTTTTAGAGGAGTAAAGTGGGGACGAAGATGCTGTGGAAGAGGATGCCAGGGTGGTAGAAGCTTGGTTTGGTGTAGAAGGCTTACAGCCGTACATGTTTGAGCCCCTGTTCTGTTAGCTCATTTTCTAAATTTTGGGACAGTATCGTTTGATAAAGAGTACAGTTATATAAATGTTTAAGCCAGAATGATTTGACATTTAAAAAATATGATTTCCCTAACAACTTTGTTCCATTCATCCACCCATCAACACTAAACTGCTTCAGTGTCCCCTGATGAGAAAAATGATCACCAGCTTTTTCATGCAGCCACTATTACTGGATTTAATGGTGGAGCTGGTGTGTTGATGTTTGGTGTTAGTTTTCCTCTATATGCATAAAATATCCTTCCACAAGTTAAGGTTAACTTGTGGAATCTTGCAAGATCCCTTTCATTTAGCTCCTGGCCTAGCTTCTCTCTCCCTCACGCAGGCGAATTTTCACCCACCTCCACCCATATTCTCTCTCCCCCTCTCGCTTATTCCATCATCAGTGTCCAGGATCCGGGGGAAGACTACATTAATACTTTTCCAGGTTACTCATCCAAGCGGAAGCTGATTTGTACCGTCAAAGTTTTATGTCGGGGCCTAAGCACTAAAGAACTTATTTGGTTTATGTCTTTATCTGCTTCTATCTTCTAGAACACCAGTTGGCCTCACACTGAGCCTGTTTTTTTTTTTTCGTGAGTTTTTACAGCACTAGAGGCTCATTATTATGGACAGCCGGCAGACAGGAAAGGGGGTATGAGAGAGGGGCAGAGACGTGCGGGAAAAGGACCACCGGATTCGTAACCAGGTCACCCGCATTGGGGACTAAGGCCTCCATACATGGGTCATGTGCGCCAACCACTGCGCCACCAAAGCACCAATCCACACTGAGCCTGGTTCTGCTAGAGGTTTGTTCCTGCTAAAAGGGAGCTTTCCTCTGCACTGTCGCTCCATGCATGTTCGGTGTGAGGGATTGCAGTTAATGAGTCCTTGCGATCAGCTGGGTTTTTCTTAGATAGAAATATTTTGGAGAATATGATTGTGTTACCTGTATAAATACATGTAATGCTTCTCTAACTGCAGCCGTTGTCTCTGTGTGTCTCTCCAGGTTGAAATACCTTCTAGCTATTTTTTATGAGTTATTTCCCTTTTAGGTAACAGGCATGTTCTTTCGAGTAAATCTAAAACGCATAGATACTAACACGTTGCCAAGACTAAAGATACCCAAAAAGACTAAGCTGAAGGAATTTAAATGAAGCAAAACTGTAGAAATGACTAATATAAGCCTGAGATGCATATGCCAGGCTTTAGTTTCCCTTCTATTGGTGGCCTGGAAGAATATTTCAACAGCCTTCAATAATGTACCCAAATCTTCCCATTGACAATCGATGCATCATAGTTAATGTAATTTGTCCCAGGAAGGGCTTCTAGGCATGCTAAAGAGATGCCGTTATTGATTCAAATGCAAAAACTGGGCTGTTATTAGCAGACGCATCGACGATCGGTCACAAAGCTGAACTCATATCAGCTGCTCAAAGTTATTTATGAAGAAAAGGAGAGATCTGACTCTCGCTTGAATGCGCCGTTTCTCTGTGTTCCGAAAGATGCACATGCCGCTCTTTTTTAACTGATCAAGATTAAAGAAAACAAGTGTCTTGATGGGTAAAAACAAAAGAAAGATTACTGCATTTTGACTGCAGTGTAACAGCAACATGCTGTACAGTAAGCAGGTTCTGTAGTTAGAGAAATAGATTCAGCATTCAGCCACAGAACAGAAGATAATGAAGCATCCGTGCCCCTTCCTACCTCCTCCTGTGTGTGTAAGAGCATGTGAAAGTGTGATCCCTGAAGTCAAGCTGCAATTAGGAGGCCTGTCAATGATGTGCGCTATCACAGAGGCTCGGACTGTCACCATCGACCGGTCAGAGCGTCTACAGACTCAGCAAAGGAGGGCATGTGGATGGAGAATCAGTGGAGATGCAGAAGTATACAGATGGAGCAAAAACGACAAAATAACAGCACCTTACAATTGTTAAAAAAAAAAGAAGAAAAGAAAAAAAAACACGACAGATGATTTCTGTCTTGTGCACCATAGCTCTGTTAAGTTTGAATTTACAGCAGCATTTAAGTCTATATTGGACAGAAGCACTCCCAGTAAAAATCAATAAAACTATTTGAAAGTTAATTCAAAAATCAATGGACACAAAATCAACAGCAATTTTGAGATCTGAGTAATGAATTAAGCTGCCTCTCCCTCCAGCCTTTTAGTTGGCTGTATTTGTTATCAAATCAAAGCTAAGACCCATTTTTTAGTGTTAGGGCGAGCTTACAGCCCACTCCACACTTATTGGCTGCCACAGTAAAGATATGTATGGCAGGACAGAACATTGGGGTTTTACATTTAAAATGTATTTTTCCAGGGGTTATTAGGAACATCCATCCATTTTCCATCACGCTTTATCTCAACTGGTCGCGAGGGGTGCTGGTACCCATCTCCAGCTGTCAATGGGTGAGAGGCGGGGTCCACCCTGGACAGGTTGCCAGTCGATTGGGGCAACACAGAGACAAACAGGACAACCATTAACGCACACACTCACACCTAAGGAGAAATTAGAGAAGCCAATTAACCTAAGTGGAGTACCCGGAGAGAACCCACGCATGCACAGGGAAAACATGCTAACTCCATGCAAACTTCCCTTCTTGCTGCATGGCAACAGTGCTTCCCACTGTGCCACTGAGCAGTGTTATTAGGAACATTGGCTGGAAATAGGCTGATTGACACAAAAAGGCAACCTTTGAAAAGATAATGTAAATCCCTTTATTGTCTTAAATAGGGGAAATTTCTTCTCTGCATTTTGACCCATCCCCTTGGGGAGCAGTGGGCTGCCATCGTGCGGCGCCCGGGGAGCCATCAGGGGTTAAGGGTTTTGCTCAGACACCCAGAGTGGAGGCTGTGGGGATCAAACCGGGTACTTGCAACCTTCTCACCTATTCTGTTTCAATTATTTCATGTCATGTTATGGTTAAAGAAAATCAACCAGATTAGTAAAAAAAATAAATAAAAAGAAAACAGATTTGGTCAACATATAAAACTTTGACATTAACCAAAATTTCCACTTTGATTCAGATATTTCACTTTAATGCTAATATGCATTACACTTCCATCTTTACAGTGACTAGAACACCCATACTTAGATATTTACACTAGACAAATATTTAAACACTGTCATTCCACTGGCTCCCCTCTGTCTCACAGGAGGATGCTGTATTTAAGAGCTCGGGGAACCCTGTTGATGACCAGGCGTCCATCATAGCTGAGTGATGCAAACAGCCAGGGGTCAGCTGATGACCACTCTGCTGCGTACACGCTGTCCTCATGCTCCTCGTACGTTGACACCACATTGTCTTTCAGAGGCTCCTTACTCCTGAAAGATAAAAATAAATCACAAAAAATATCAGAATGCTTCTTGAGTTTTTAGGTGCTGAAAATGTAATTTTACAGATTGCATTTTTGATAGATCTACAGTATTAGTAACCAGTAATAAAGTAAGTCCCAAGACCATCAATACCAAGCCAAAGGAGCAGAGAATTTATTTGAAATTATTTCGTTTTTTTTTTTACATAACTTTTAGAAGTGAAATTACATAATTAAACATTTATTTCTGGTTTTACTAAATTAAAAACCAAGATCTTGGCTAGTGCTGACACATTTCTACTGCCCCTACAATACTGGAACAATAAATAACCATTCAGAAATATGATCCAGCATCATTGCCAGCTCAAATTCCTCTCTAGCCCCCAGGCTGTAAGTGTTCCTGAGGGAAAAAAAATGATTTAAACATTTGGATTTATTTTACACATTTACGTTGCTTTCGCTCTGACAGTAGCTGCTCCCTTTGGACGTCAGCCTAAAATAAAACGGCTCTTAAATGTGTCACTTGTATACGTTTAGTGGGAAAGAACGGAAAGAGAGAGCACAAGTGGGAGCCCTAGAGTGATCCCAGCAAATACTGGGCTTGGTCTCAGTGACACCGGGGATTGAGAGGTTTTAGGGATAATGTCACTGAGCAGTTTAACCATAGCAAACTGCCATACATCACATGACAGGGTTCACATATTTAGTAACCTCTAATTTCAAATCATTTAAGGTGCTATTTTAAAAAATTAAAAAAGTTTAATTAAATGAACTCCTGCAGAGATGATAGAAACAAACAGTGGAAACACTGTATTTTTATCCCATTAGACTGACTGCTTTTATTGCCATGACAACCCTGATAAAAGTACGTTATTATAATCATTTAAATTAATTTCAAACCCTTGCCTTAGACAGATAAAACCAGTGTATAGGCCACAGGTTCTGAGACTTAATGCAGTTTCTATATAAAAATCAAAAATCTAAAATAATAATTAGTAAGATAATCTCTTCTACTGCTCTATGATACTTAATAAATACACATTTGAGACAAAAGCTACTTACTCTTTAGGGTAAAGTGTAGAAGGATCCTAAACTTACATTAGTTTCTTTTAATGCCTTAAAGTCAACAAATATTAAACAAATAAAGTGTCTCTCTGAGCAAATACAAAACAAGAGTAAATTAAGTGGAGCCAGAAATTGTTGCCAAGCATAAAGAAAAGAAAAACTCAGAGTAAACCTGAAGTTATGCTTCAGTTATGCAGATATGATAAAGCTTTTATAATGCATACTGTACCAGCTTTAGCTTTGTGAAAAATGGAAAAAGTATCCGTCTTTGTACTCAATGAAATTCCTGAAGCTAGGACACTTTCTTTCAAAGCTTTCCATAAAGATGTAAAAGTTAAACTTTATTTACCTTAAAAAGCACCATAATAACACAGTTTATAATAATATATCAGTTTTTTTATTGAAATTTATTGCAAAGATTAGAATTGTTTTTAAAGTTTATCTATATGTCAGTTAGCTTAAAGCATTTCTGTAATAAAAGAATAAAATAGACCTTTTTTGAAAATCAATAACAAATGCTTACTATAACAAAAGACCAAAGTCTAAAAAACACATTAAAAAATGATTTAAGTCGAACAAATTTAAGTGTCACATGTATTTCACTGGTTTCACATGTTCTACAACAGAATTGGAATTGAGCACTACCCTAACTTGTCAAAAATAATCATGCTTAGGATTTTTCTTTTCTCTTCTATTTTCTTCTAACACAGCAATCAGATGCTGTTTGCATGAAGTTTCTGGACAGTCCTCTCTGCTCCAGCACAGGGTTTAACTAGGATTCACAGACCTGCTGCAGCACTTCCAATGAAACCTGTTAACTTCACTAAAGCCGGGGATATACTTTGTGATTTTTTTAATCGTTTCACGCAGCCACAGCTCACGATGTATGTTCTCATACTGTACGTCTAAGCCCTAAAAAAAACGGTGACGACTGTGACGGTCTTATTTTCGGTTTAACTTTGATCCGTGTGTTGCATTGGTTTACTTCATACTTTGTGTTTCTACATATATTTTAGTACTCAGTTTTTTCTTTATTGTCCTCTATTGCCCTCTTGTGTTTGTTCCTTTTCCCTTGGCTTCCTCGTTATCTCCACTCACACCTGCTCCTTATCAGCTCGTTAGCCCTGCCTTTGTTCAGTCAGCCACATATACTGTCCTTCTGCTGTCACTCTTTGCTGGTTCCTTGTCGCTGGTTGTCTTCTTACCTCGTCTCTCCCTGGCTCCTTGTGCTCGTTTTACCCTGATGTGTCCATTGTTTTCGGTTTGTTAACATTTTTAGTTGGATTTTTGGATTGCTGCCTCTGTTACCTGTCTTTTTCAGTTAATCTACAAGAAATCACCTTAGCCTCTCTGCCTCTGCATTTGGGTCCTCAAACCACAACCAAATCCTGACGGCGACAAGTTGTCAGGATTTTGAAATTTGTGCAATTTTGTGCTGAAAGCCCTAAAAACAAAGGGTGACGTATTTGGACAAAAACATGGCTGAGCAAACGTGGCTACTGCAGTCTGATAGTTTTACAGAGAGAACTCCATTTCACTCACATCCCCGCAATGATTTTGTGTTTTCATCTGAGAGGAAGAAGAAGAATCCTTGTTTGCGCATGCCCCCTCAGGGATTTGCCCACAACAGCATACCAAAAATCAGACATGTTTGATTTTCTCTCGACCTCACAATTCCTGATCAGGAGATGGTCGTGAGATGCTGATTGCCCCATGACGCACGACCAGGCTGAAAGTCAGCCCCATCGAAAAATTCTCGCACAACCGGAAAGTCGGCCTGAAAAAGGCAAAAAAATCGTACAGTGTATACCCGGCTTAAGTCAAAACACGCAGCCAGAAAAAATCTACAGAAAAAACTTTCACATTTTAAAACAGGGGGCTGCTTGCTTCCTCAACACTTTTATTTTACTCAATAAACTGGCTGATAAAATATTTTATATTTATTTCTAGTCATTAGTGTACAGAAAAAAAAACTTACTGAAACACAAGTTTTAAAACTCAACACTCTGCATTAATTGTTATAATTGTTACTGATTAGTACTAAGGCAGCACACTGTGCTTCACTCAGGTCTCCTCCACACAGCTGCATTAAGAGCCTCACTTCAGCATTGCCTAAAAAATAGGTGCTACCTAGAAATGGACTGACTTGTTGTTTGGTCTGAAATCAGGTGGCAGTCCAGCACCTTTACTCATCTTTGCCAAAATAACTTAAAAAAGACACAAAAAAACTGTATGCATCCATAACCATGTTTGAATAAAAGTTGCTTTCTTAAAAAACAAAAAATAGGGGAGGAGTGAGAAGGAGCAAAATACATTAATACTATAAAAACACATGCCTGAAATAAATCTTTGCATACTTTAATCCTCCAAAATGAGCACGTTCATCACCATAAAGGGAGTTAAAAATGAAATGGCTAAAAACTGTGAAATCGATTGAATATATATATATATATATATATATATATATATATATATATATATATATATATATATATATATATATATATGTTATGCTCTCTCTGCTTTTTCTCAGAGTAACTTTGCCTCGTCTGTTCCTGTTTCGCTGTGACACCATCCTGGAGAGAAATATCAGATGTGCTGCTTCCATTAACACCCTTGTTTATAGATGTTGGAGATCTGCCTGTTTTCCAGTGTAGTCCTGTTTCTCTGACCGTGACTGGCTGGATGTGCTCTCTTCATCCTCTGAAATTAGAGCTGGCTCGGAGCTCGTTGGCCTGGCTGTGTTTTTCCTGGACAGGGCCCCCTTTTACAGTTGCTTTTTGTATCTCTTCTTCTGTCTCGTTGAACCCCAGTCGACCTCAGCAGATGGGCGCTCACACTTCCTGTTAAAAGTGAGTTTTTCCTCTCCACTGTCGCTACAAGCATGCTTAGTGTGAGGGATTGTATTTGAGTCAATGAGTCGATGCAATCAACTGGTTTTCCTTAGATAAAAAACTTTGAATCAATTTGACTGTATGATCTGGTGAATTGTAAAGTGCTTTGAAATGACCTGTGTTGTGAATTGGCGCTATAGAAATAAACTGAATTGAATTGAATATATTAAACACAACAAACTCCTTCGACAGGCTGCAGCCATGTCCCGAATTCCTCGTTTTCAAGCCACTTTGGTTGAAATTTGCATTTTCCCATTCACTAGCTTTTTCTCCGCCTCGAGCTTCTTTTCCGAACATACAGCTTTACGATCAACTGTAAGCAGTTCTGCAAAAACACGTGGAACTAATTATATCTGATATATCTGAGGAAATTGTTTTATAAACATTTTTTTTAAATAAAGCATTTTGAATGCCACGATAATCACATTTAATGAACTTTAATGCCAATTAAGGCCTTAATTTAAAAATACAATAATTTAAATAATTTAATGATTTTTAAAAATGTAGGTTTTAGGCTAATTCTGTTTTTGTTTTGTTTTTTGGCCAAAAAGAAGAATTCAAATATGTACTGAAAATGATTTATCTTGCATCAAAATTATTTTTTGACTTTATCCATTGAATTCTACAAAAATAAACACAATGTCTTCTTTGTTTTTCTTTTACAGATCTTCACCCCAGATATTATGAGCACTGAAGAAGGTCTGAATGCAGCGGTCAGGTAGTGATGAGTAGGACATATGGAAGGTTGGTCAACAGTCATGCAGGAAGGGTTAAAAGTAAAGCTGAGTGCTGTGATTAGGGAGAGGAGTCGATAATTGTGGCTGAGAGTTGGCTGTTGAGTGTAAGAGCTGGTAGTTATGGCTGAGAGGAGGACCATAATGGATGTTGGACTGTGGCAGATTTGGACGGCAATGAACAGTTACAATTACAGGGGATTTTCCTGACGTTTTTAAATCAACTCCACACAGACAGGACAAGTGTTTTGACAGCAAAGCATTTTTAATGTTTTCCTTTTATCACTGAGAGTTTCAAAGCGTTGTGAGACAGAAGGTTCAGGCTGTCAGCTTTAATCAAGGGAGGACCATTATCAAAGGAACAGTTCAAATATAAACTGCATATTTCAATACACTCCTTAGTGTCTTAGTGTGTTTCATTTGGCCCCCAATACTGCTGAATACAGATAGGAAATGTTTTAAAAATTCTGCACAATACGATGAACATGTCTCTGCTTTTCCTTCCATTCTGAACCTTAATGCAGGATCAGACTAGAAAGTTAAGAGCAGCCAGACAAAGAGAAACAGGAGGCGGGAAAACACAACTGAGGGTCTGGTAACAAAGAGGAGCCGTGCGTCACTTGTGTGGAATTATCTTGGGTTTAAAAAAGAAGACGCTGCGCAACGTAAGGAGTGCAGGTGAGTGGACATTTTGTGCAGGTAAGAGGACATTTGTTCGCTAATCTTTTCTTGCACTTTGGTATGTATGATGCAACTGATTAGAGATCAGTTAATATTATTTTCGTATCCTATTCTGTTTATCTATTTATAGACTGTCCGGTTAAAATCTGGCAGTGTTTAAGGAGTGGAATCCATATGTTTATGTATCATGTTTCATGAAACAGAAAAAGATGTTAATAAGGTAAGCCACAGATTTGTTTCCTTTATTGTTGTAATCTGTGCTTTAAATAAATTTGAGTATTATGAAACAAATTTGTTTGTATATGTTTAAAATATAAGATGCAAACTAGCTCAAATTCCCCACCTAAGTCACCATCTGTGTTGCCAGTTTTCTCTCCAAAACCTGCTTACCTGTATATTGGGTCAGCGTTGGTGTGAGAAGCTATATATTTTCACACCAAGCTTGTCTTTTATGGATCAGAACATATGCGGGTGGGTCAGCGGATGCAGCTTTCAGGCCCTGTTTTGTGCATGTTCAAGCTTTAGAAATGAAACCAAAATCAGAGCAAAATCTCTATCCTTTTATTTTCCAGTCTCGTTATCATAGAATTCCTGAAGTGAGGGCAGGCGGCGTCACATTTCACTCTAGAAAAGTGGTATATAAAGAGGTTGATTGTCAATCGTCCACAGGAAGATGCCCAAATGAAGCCCTAATGTTTACCCTTGAACCATCGTGTTGAAAGATTTTTATAGTTTCAGTGCTAAAATGCAGCATTTGCATTTTTTCAAACATGCCAACAGAGAATTCCGACAATAAATTGTTTTTATATGTCCAACGGACATAGTTTTAGATGTGCAAGTGGTTCATCAGATGCAACCAGGAAAATTAATGTACCACCTTGTTTTCGGGCAGATGTTTCTCCCTCTAACCATCTGAAATGACCAATTATTCTTTATTCTCCTTCCATTTTACTTCAATAGAATATATTTTACCAAGGTAAAGCCATTAGGGTCTGAGATGGAGGTGTTGTGTGTCTTTATCAGGTCTTTGAGGACTACATGGTCTGACATTGACTGGGGAAACCCCCTTTCAAGATGTAAAAGGCTTTTCTAGCTTTGAATTGTCTTTTTAAATTGTGCATTTAAGCTATAGTTAAAAGCCTACAGCTGATCCAAAATGCTGCAGCCAGAGTTCTGATGAAAATTAAAAAAGAGAGATCATATCTCTCCTATCCTACCTTCTCTTCATTGGCTTCCTGTTAAATCAAGGATAGAATTTAAACTCCTCCTTCTCACATATAAAGCCTTAATGGCCAAGTTCCATCTTAAATCAGAGATTGTTCCTTATGTTCCTAACAGAGCACTTCGCTCTCAATCTGCAGGTTTACTAGTGGTTCCTAGAATTTCTAAAAGTAGAATGGGAGGCAGATCTTTTAGTTATCAGGCTCCTCTCCTGTGGAACCAACTACCAGTTTCAGTCCGTGAGGCAGACACCCTGTCTACTTTTAAGGGTAGACAGGGTTAAAACTTTCCTTTTTAATAAAGCTTATAGTTAGAGTGGCTCAGGTTATCCTGAGCTATCTCTATAGTTATGCTGCTATAGGCTTAGACTGCTGGAGGACATAGGGACCATTTCATCATTCTGCTTAATTCTTTCTCTATTCTTCCACTTTGCAGAATCTGTTAGTTTAATCTCTAACGTTCTGCTCTATTTGTTTTTTCTCATAGTAGCTTTGCCTCATCTGTTCCTGTTTGGCTGTGACTCCATCCTGGAGAGAAATATCAGCTGTGCTGCTGCCATCAACACCTTTGTTTATAGATGTTGGAGATCGGCCTGTTTTCCAGTGTAGTCCTGTTTCTCTGACTGTAACTGGCTGGATGTGCTCTCTTCATCCTCTGACATGGGAGCTGGCTCGGAGCTTGTCTGCCTGGCTGTGTGTTTCCTGGATGGGGCCGCCTTTTACAGTTGCTTTTAGTATCTCTGCTTCTGTCTCCTTGAACCCCAGTCGGCCTCGGCAGATGGCCGCTCACACTGAGCCTGGTTCTGCTGGAGGTTTCTTCCTGTTAAAAGAGAGTTTTTCCTCTCCACTGTGACTACATGCATGCTTGGTGTAAGGAATTGCATTCAAGTCAATGAGTCGATGCAATCAACTGGTTTTCCTTAGACAGAAAACTTTGAATCAATTTGACTGTATTTGAATTGAAAATGTGTTGTGAATTAGCGCTATGTAGATAAACTGAATTGAATTTTTATCCTTAGCTGTAGAATGATAAAGTTCAATTAGGACATGGAGTTAATAACCTTAATTGGCTCCTTTATTGGTGATTTTTGACTTGCCTGAACAAACTATAGTACAAATGCTACCTTTATCTTCATTGGCCACTGTGTGATATGGCTTTACTAATAAAGCATTAAAACCCTCTGAAGATGATTTCACAAAGAATAAGTCATGAAATTGAGAACATTGTGGACAACTGGGAGCATCTGCTTCAGAAAACAAACAGACTGTCTTCAGTTAAAGGGTTCTGCAGCAGATTCTTCTTGCCTACATCCATTAACATTTGAATTAAAAAGTAATCTCATGTCATTGTTGGTAGCATCCCCCCATCGCCTTGTGCTTTCGTTTTTATTCATGCTACTTACATTTTTTTTTTGTTTGTACTTGAACAGTAATTTGTCTTTTGTGAAAATAACTAAATTGGAAAGATTGTAAGAAAGCTGGTATTTGCTGAGCGCTTAAAGATAATTTTAAATCCGATAATGTTACTAAACACAATAAAATGCATCCTGCAAAGTACTGGATTGCTACAGACGCCTTTTGAAAAGCTTAGCTGTCAGGTGTGTAATTCATTGCTCTCACTCAACTTCTTTCATTTTAGTTTCTTGAGTTTAGTTGAATTATCTTCTCATTAAAAAAAAAGCATCATGTTCTTCCTTTATAAAAACCCACCATCAACCATCCTAGAACAGACAAAGAGCTTCTGCTAATGCGTCGTTAGACCTTCCAGAGATGCTCTTACTTCTCCTCCTGGTGGTTATCCTCCCCCTCACTGAGTTCCTCATCATCCACCAAGTGTCCGAACGGCTCAGAGGAGATGGACACCATATTGGAGAGGATGAGACGGCTGTCGCTGCTGGCTGTCAACACCAGCTGGTCGTGGCTGTGGTTGTAGCGGACGCTCCACACCCTGGGAAACACATTATTCATTCAGAGTTAGACAGCACAGCAATGTGGGCATGACTTTTTTTTATATATATAAACATTTATGCATATGATGAAAATGACTGAAGTAACCAGTGTGGGAGAAGAGCCCTGGAGCAAGCTCTGGATGCGGTGATCGTTTGTTGACTGCTTGTATGAGCAGACCACACTCGCATACTGTCAGCCGCCCACACACATCACGCAGAAAACGCTCTGCTCTCAATCTGACGTTAAAATAGCTCGATTTGAGAATTTAGATGCCAGTAACGAGGATTTGGAAACTTGCAGTCTATGTTTGAGCTCCTTTCGCATGTGCTGACGATCAGAATCAGAAACTCCATAATCCTTACTTTTATTTCCTTCACTGTTTTCTCATCTCCCTCCATAACTCTCTCCATTTTGTTCCCTCACTTCCTTTATTCTTCATTTTTGTGCACTCGTTCTTTGTGTGTTTGTGTGCCTTTGTGAGCCCCAGGCGCAGCTCAGAGTGCGGTCCCAGTTCCCTCACAGGGAGGGATTGAGGGATAACCGAGGCTGTTGACAGAAAAATCAGCCGCGGCCACGCCGTTCCCCGTGCTCCGCTAATCCGCTTCCCTGCTAAAAAATAGTCCCTAATACCCCCAGCAGCCCTGAGGCCATATCCTGGCTGCGCTCTGACAAATGAGCGCGCACGACAAACACCCACACACAAGTGCAGTGCACAGAAGAAGATGGGTGCTCATACAGGCGAATACAAATGAGAATATGCTTTATAGAAATGTGGGGAGGGAAAGCACACAAATGCATGTGGCCACACAGATAAAAAGAGAGCTCTGCTAAAACACAGATTAGATGATAGTCAACGCACACACACACGTCACCTATCTCCCATCAGAAGACATCCCATCTGCTGCAATCTACAGTTATGGATATGTTTGCTGAGCCAGCCTCTCTTTTAGAGATAACGTCTGCTGCGTGGGTGCGTGCGCACAGACAAGGGGTGTGCGTGGATGTGTGCGGCAGCAGGATCCAAGTTTGGCTCACGCTGATCATCTATTCAGCTCACAGAGGAGACGGTGCGTGTCTCCTCCACCAACACATCTGCAGTTGGCTGTACAGCTTAGAGCGACGCCTGAAGCCTCGGTAGAAGACAACCACGGGCTGGACTTACCTCCAGTCCTCAACAACCGAACGAATGGCAGCGGATTTAATTAGTAATGAGTTTATTACTGCCTTTTATTACATCAGGAGTAGATGGGGGATTTCATTAGTCATGAGATACAGCAATTAATGAGACAGGAAACCAATCAAGAGTCCAGCAAAAGGGATTAACATCTTGCTAATATTGTGCTTTTCTACATGTGCCTGAATGCTCATCCTCCAAACTGTTGGTCTTTCTTCTGCTTATAATCCAGATACTTTTCTCCACATCTAAAATGTAAAATTAACCAAAAGAGTGTTTATTTTCTGATCTGGGGTGGAAGCGTTTAATCTTAAAAATGAACCTTAACGATCCCACTAGGACAAAACAAAGATGGGAGGCAGAGACGGCCAGAATAATCTCTGACGAAACATGGGAGGGAGTCTGGACTGAGGCACATCGAGTTACAAACTCCAATACGTAATATAAATGGAAAATTATAAGTAGATATTTCAGGACCCCAGATGTTGTTGCCAAGATGGATCCTAGAGTACCAAGCTTGTGTCGGAGAAACTGTGGCTCAGCGGTCCCCAATCATACAGACATTTTTTGGTCATGTCCCAAACTTCAAAACTTTTGGGACGAGGTGTACAGGACTATGAACCAGATCTTCACGGAGGTTATACCGAGGGATGTTACTGTTCCAGTACTTGGTATTATACCGGAGAGTTTGCAAGGACGGGCCAAAACTTATCTGTTGAATGTTCTTTTTATAGCAGCCCTGAAATGCATTACAACCAGGTGGATGCAGTTGGAGCCTCCTTCCTATGACTTATGGGTACAAAAAGTAAGAGAGTTGTACAAAATGGAAAAGATAACCTACTCATTAAGACTTCAAAAAACAACCTTTAGCCTGCGCTGGGGGCCAGCAGAAGCAATGCTGATGTAAATAAGCCCAACAAGTTTATCTCTTGGCATATGGTGTTTAGCTATTCCACCCAAAGTGTATCCTTATGTTAGGGTTTCAGGATGATGAGTCTACAAATTTGAGGCTGAGATCATAAGATATCGAGCTAAGACGTTCATTTTAAGGAAAACTATATTTTCAACTTTTGTGTTATGTACCATTGATGCGTGGCTGTACAATAGCTATGTAAAAAATAATAAAAGTATAAGTTCTAAAAAAAAAAAAAATAGATCAGATTAAGCATAAGTAATTTAAAGGGGGTTTAAAGAGTTTTCCAAATATACTGCCACCTGTGGACAAAACACAGAACTGCATCACTCTTCTGCTTTTTCTCACAGCTCGCAGTTTAATTTTTATTTTTCCTTACGCCGGGCTTACACTGTACAATGTTTTCAATCTTTGCACACATCTACAGCTCACACTGTACGACGGAACAGCAGGGTTTAAAAGCTCATGATGTTTTTCTCACACTGTGCGACACAATGCTGTGATGATATCTAGCAGCTCACACTTGTACGTCTAAAAACCACGTCGGACTCAGCCCAGCAGTGAGATGGTGCTACTTGGACTTGTCTATCCGGAAGCCAAATGAGCAGAGGAGGAATATGAAGCTAACTAGAGTAAAATGCATTGCCTTGGCAACTTGTGCAATTTTGTGTGCTGAAAGCCCTAAAAGCAAAGGGCGAGGTATTTGGACAAAGACAAAGGCTGAGCAAACGTGGCTAATACGGTCTGTCAATTTTACAGAAAGAACTCCATTTCACTCACACCCCCGCCATGCTTCTGTGTTTTTGCCTTAGAGAAAGAAGAAGAAGAAGAATCCTTGTTTGTGCACTGAGCGATTTGCCCATGACGGCCGACTGAATTTCAAACATGTTTGATTTTCACCCGACCTTACGATTCCTGCCCCTCGTTACCAATCGAAAAGTTCTGGCATGACTGCAAAGTCGTCCTGAAAAGGGCAATAAATCGTACAGTGTGTGCCCGGCTTCATTGGTGTCTGAGTTGAGCTGGATGCTGGTCGCTTCTGAATATCCACAGAAACCATCTTATAACACTTCAACTGTTTGCTAGGTTGGACCCATTAAAAATGGATGCCACATCCGTGGAACAGCGCAGGAACTTCCAACCAGAAGTACGTTCAGGGGAAATAGGCTACAGGCTTATCCGAAACGGTGCTGAACTATTAAGGTTTAATTCTGCTCATCAAATGATGTTTTTGTCATAAAGGGTCAAACAAAAAGGCTATTTTAATGATATATTTCAGTAAATAATGTCTCTTTAAAGAGCTTCTGCTGGAAACTTAAGTTTATCTGTAATAAAAACCTGATTTACTGATGATGGAAGGGATGCAGTATTTGTGTAACACTAAATGAAAATAGAAAACAAAACAAAAAAGGGGAAGAAAAACCTTTTTTATAAAAGGTAGTTAAATATATAGCATCTAGATTTGAATGCAAAGCGTTAATTTAAGCAAGTAATGAGTTTTTCTGTGTGCGAGGTGACTTACAGAGCAACTGTTTGACAAATAAAGGAAAGTAATTGTCTCCCATTCAAGGAAGTCCCCCACCCTTTATCCCCCTCTGTGCTCCACCCACCAGTGTGAGTGCTCCTCCAAGGTCTTTACGGGCTCCTGGACGTTACGGACGTCCCAGAACTTGACCTTGCAGTCGTCCCCGCAGCTGGCCAGGTAGTATTGCCGGTTGGGATTGAAGTCCAGGTCACGCACCAGCTGGCCGTGGGCGTTCTCTATACAGTAGATCTGGCTGGAAAGAGGAAGATAAAAAGATGATTAGAAAGTAGGGAGAAGATTGAAAGCCTGGAGAAAAAGATAAAAAAGTTGAGCACAAAGAAGAACTAAGGATAGAAATAGAGGAGACGATATCAGAGAACAACAAACGGGAGAGGGTTTTTCTGAGGTAAATCAAAGCTTTTTCTATGTCTGTCAGCAATGGCCAGACACCAACATAAAACTATTGCTGGCAGAAGTAAATAATGAAAGCAGGACATTAGGTGAACAGCCTTGAGTTCCAGACATGGTGAAACTAACAGAATGACATAATAAAGGGATCATTTTTCTATTAAATTGGATTCTATTCAGCTCTCCGGGCACCTACTTGTATCTCCTACAAGCTCCTAAGATTTCTCTAAATATGCATGCATTTGGCTCTGTTTCCAACATCATTAACATTTCTATACACATCATATTTGTGTCACAAGCTGCAAGGGGTGCATTTGAACTACAAATAAATCTAAAACTTGACTGACTGATCTCTCCACTCTTATTTAACCTTAAACTGTCATCAATCTCATTGCCAGACATGGGGAGCATTATTTTTTCAATTAACAAATGTACAGAGGGCCTTATGCTTGCATCAAAATAACAGGCTGGAGGAAAAAAAAATAAGATAAACCTAAATGCTTTTTACAAAATGAAGCCTTTAGGTCAACAAACAAGTATTTAACACAATTTAAAGCATGCACAATGTATGGAGGCCTTAGTCCTCGAGGCAGCTGACCTGGTTTTGAATCCCACCTGTGGTCCTTTGCCGCTTGTCTCTCCCCCTCTCTCATAGCCCCTTTCCTGTCAAACTACTGTCGTAAAAACAAGCCACTAGTGCCTGGGGGAGTGGCGGCCTAGTAGTTAGGGCATATAGCTTGCAATCTGGAGGTTCTGAGTTTGAGCCCCACTCCTACAGACTGCCACCCTGGCTCTCTGAGCAAGCCCCCTAACCCCAAGGGGATGGGTTAAATGCAGAGGTAAATTTCTCCAATGTAAGATCAATAAAGTTTAATTATTATATTTTAGACACAGTATTTCTAAGCAAAGCTGGTACTCTCTTAATACTTCACAATCTGCAAGGTTCTTATGAGGATTTTTTAGAATGATAGCAGGGATTAAATATTGTGCAGTATGCCACATCTAAATCTTCTTTCTTTGCCAATTAAGTCCACACCTTTTTCTTTTTGTGTTTTCTCAATGTTGGAGGCAATGCCCATACCTCTTGATTTCGGAATTATCCGATTGGCCCGGAGATGTTGCTCTGATCCACCTGCAGCCGTGGTAAGATAGCTACACAGCAGCAGAGCAATGCTGCGTTTTATTGGGTATAATAAAACAAACCTTCTGAACCTGGTCGCTTCACCCCTACTTTTAAAGCTGGCTTTCTGTCTGATGGCAGGGCGGCAGCACATTTTTTCACCTGCTTGCAAACTCAGGGTAAAAGTCTAAAGAGCGTAGGGTTCACGGGACGTGCAAAAGAGGAAAATACGTATGAAAACACCATTTCTGCTGGTGTAATGCTCATTAAAAGTCAGTGTATTCATCAAATTTTTGACAATATTTCAAAATAAACAGCGTTTATGTTGTAATGTGCTGAAATGAACACTGGGTGAAGGATACCAGATGTCAGCCAAAGGATCAACACCATCAGAATATATCAACGTAGCAGGCTGAATTGTTATATGTTACGAATATGTTAAGCTAAGCTGGTGAGATCCCTGGTTAATTACATTCTCTTACAATTGTAAAAGTCACATACAGCATTACGATTTTTGCTATAAAGACAAAATTGAATTCAATTAGTTTTTTTGGTTGAAAACTGAAATTGGGTTAATTGAAACATTGAGAGCTGAAGTCTCTTATTTTAAACCAATGAACCAGACCAGCATAGTACCATCCATGAGAAGCTGCAAGACAGGACCAGCTGATAAGCCAGGAATAAAATGCCTTGGGCTCTTTTTCTTATGCTTTTGGATGCGCTGTGGTGTTTTAACATTTTTTTGCTGAGATTTCTTTTTTTTTTCTTGTATGATTCACTAAAATAAAGCCTGCCCCTGCTACTGTGAAGAAGTCCCAGTTAATATGGCTTCTAGGGTTGTCACGTCACTAAAATGTTAATCTCCATATTGATCTCTAGGGAAAAAATTCAATACTTGAGAACATCATCGATACCACTGGGATAAAAAGAGAAAAAAAAAAAGATAATTAAAGACATGAAAAATACCTTTTTCAAAATCACCTTAAAATGTGCTTTCTCAATGGTATTGCAAACCCTAGTTAAATAAAGATGCAAAATGAATAACCCGGAAGCCAAAAAAATAAAAACAGCAAAAATAGGCAAACAACACTTGTCTTTAGTATCAATACCATGCATAATTAGTATTGCATCTGGATACAGCAGTCAAGTATACAATGTTTTTGGAGTAGAGATACTTTTGACAACCCTAGGGGCTTCACCCTGCTTTATCAAATATTATTTAGGCAATATTTTAATATCCTAATTAGTTAAAGTTCAACAAGACAAATAGCTTAATAATGCCAAATAATCACCAAATAATAATCACTTTCCTGAATAATTATTTCTTAACGAAATTTTTATCTTGTTAAAGGGGGGACTTTATAATTAAAAGGGAAAAACTTTGTTATTTTATGAAATTCTTTAACCATTAGTGTTTACACTAATCAATTAAAATTAAAAGGGTTCTACATAAAAAAATATATATAGATATATATACACATAAATATATGACCTCAGTGGCAGTCCTAATGACCATTGTTCTCAGAGAGGCATTGATCAGTAATGTTCAGCTTAGCTGCACATTGTGTAAAGCATCATCATATGTAATATTTTAGATTAGATTATTTTTTAACACTATTAAGTATTTATTTGATGTGCATTCATCCCAACGGTCAGAGAGATGATCTCTCTTCAGGCCCAATGCTTGCTTTCAGATGAATTTTCCTTGCTTTCTGATGTTTTCTATCAAACGGGCAAACAGTAAGCAATGGTCCTGGAGCAGACCTAGCATGAACACACTTATATTTAAGTGCACACACATTCCCTGAAAACCCCTGAGTCTTCCTGACCTAAATGAAGCCCAGCGGTCTGCCTCAGGTCATTCTCTTATACCTCCCTTATTTTAATGAGATTTTTAATTAGCATGTTAATTGCCTAATGCAATCAGCAGGGTGACTAGCTTGCTGGCTAGCTACTGCTGGCACCCAACTGGGCCATAACACTGAGGCTTTCCACTCTGCTGAGCAAAACCACGCAGAGCTGTGTCGTTCAAGGCTAGCCTGCAGAGGAAATGGTGGAAGAGAAAACAAGCAGCGATTTTTCCACACATTCATGTTGCCTTTATGATGAAGGCAGAGTTCCAGATCTAATTAACTCGCAGTTTGTTCTTTTCTCTGACCAACAGTTTTAGCTGTATTTGCTATATTCTAATGTTTAGAGAAAAGGCTGCAGGAGACAACAAAGAGCAAGAGCATATGTGCAACTAAAGTAACAGAAAATTTACCAAAGCAGCCAGATACATACCACCTTGCATGCAAAATCTGTGATTTTTAGTATGTTTGCAGAAGAATCTGAACATTTTCTAACTTGCCCGAAGCAATATCATTAGGGAGCACTGCAGGCAAACATAATCATGGGAGGCTTGACCTTCAGCTTACAGGCTCTTCTTTTCCAGTGATTCACAAACTTAAGTTTGGCCAGAACAGTTGTATTAAACTGGCTACACCATAATATTGTTTTTTATAACAGGTCTTTCTTACTTTCCACAGTTGCAGGCAGATCACTATAGTTTTTATTATGTTTTTCTCTGAAATACTTCATTCAAACATACCACATTTTTCCATATGATATTATTTAAGTTGGATCTATTTGTCTTCTCCTAAGTTGCCGCTTGCTTAGCTCCAGAAAGGGCACCAAGCTTTGCTTAATTTTCTTGGTTACTAAGGTGACAAGTCTATCTATAGGTGACCATAACATTGCTTTGCTAAGAAACCCCGAAGCCCAGATAATAAAAAAAGAGCAGGATTTGACAAGAACAGAGGAAAATTGCTTTTTAAAAACAGTGACCGATTTGGGATAAACTCTTTGCATTCATTCTCATTGCAAATTAGATAATATTAAAAGCTGTGGTGAAGTAATTAAGACAATTATGTATGGTTAAAAAAAGGTTATAAAGCTGCTATGCTGCTATGCAAGTATTCTGCTCATACACTGCTGCAAAATTAGGTGTTTTTTTTCACAAATGAAGAATTTACAGTGATCTTATCGTTAAGAGTTCAGTTCGATCGGCCTCACTCTGCTAGCACATTCTTCTCTGATGCTTTCCTGTTTTACAGTGGGCCGCTAGTAGAATTAGGGTGCCGGTCTGGTTTAAGAACTAGACCGAAAGCACTGTGCCTCAATCTATAAATGCTCTAAGAAATAAAAAAAATAACAAAATCAACAGTGGTGCTCAGTTTTCACTTCAATGTCCCAATTTGACCTCAGTAAAAAAGTACCCGTATGCAAAGCAGAGATTGATTCCCCTCAAATTTAGAACAAGGTAAAGAATAGAAACTCATGAATGTTCCTAATTAAACTCCTGCCTCTGATAACGTAAAATAAACATGCATGATAAGCATGACATCCAAAGCTATTCTGTTTGTCCAACCAATTCAATCTCACAGGAGCTGTAAATCAGGGTAATCATTAGATTCAGGGATCTAGGAACATAGGTTGGCATCGCGATAACAACAGACTGTAGATTGTGGAATTAGGAAGCTGAGACCGAGGCATTTCTTGCAAGACCACAAATTTATTTAACGTCCTCAGGCGGAGAGATAGAGCTCTGACTGAGGCATTTCAGTACATACCTTACAAAAACCCAACACACACTTCCCCCAGCATAAAGAACTTTCTCATGTTTGAATATTTGGAGGATAAACAACTTGAGTTCATCAAGGCCATTCCCTGTTAGGTTAATATAT